TGGAGAGGGGAGGAGGACGGAGCAAGTGGACTTCCTGTCTGTCCACAGGAGCGAACACTACTAAAGCCTCTTTGGAAAAGACTGGGCAGTTATGCAGACAGCGAAAAGAGCCATCCAAGGCCAAAGCCGTCCACCCAAGAGAAACAAAAACAGTCTACACAAAGACTCGCCAAAGAACACTCGGAAGCTTCCTTGTAACACCAACTAGAAACAACTTGCCCTCCTGTCCCTGTGGAAGGGCAAACAAGGATCCCACAAAAGCACCCTATCCAACTCGATTCCTGCACTGCCAGGAAGAATGAACTTCGTTTGTTTTGTGGTTTTGTTTTGACAGGGTTTTTCTGCGTAGCTCTCACTGTTCTGGATCTCGATCTGTAGATCAGGGTAGCTCCAAACTCAGAGATCCAGCTGCCTCTGCCTCCTGAGTGCTGGGGTTAAAGGTGTGTGCCACCACCTCCTAACTGGAGCAAAGATCTTAAATGCACAGTTTGGCAATGTGATCTTTTGCTTTGTTTTGGTTTTGTGGGGTTTTGGTTGAGACAGAGTCTCAGAATCTCACAACGTAGCCCTAGCAGGCTTGGAAAAGCCTTGAACTCACAGAAATCCTCCTGCCTCTGCCTCCCAAGTGCTAGGATTTGATGTGGGATTTCCCTCTGTAGGCGTGATTACTATTAATGAATAAAAAAACTGCTTTGGACCTATAACAGCAGAATTTAGCTAGGCCGAGAAAACTTAGCTGAATGCTGGGAGAAAGAAGGGTGGGGCCAGAGAGATGCCGTGGAGTCACCGGAGACAGACACAGCCATGTGGTGATTCACAGATTAATAGAAATGGGTTAAATTAACATATAAGAGTTAGCCAGTAAGAAGCTAGGGCTAATGGGCCAAGCAGTGATTTAATTAATACAGTATCTGTGTGGTTATTTTGGGTCTGAGTAGCCGGGAACCAACAAATGGCCTCCAACAACAAGAATTCAAAATGTGCACCACCCCCACCGAATGATGACTTTGCTTTGAGACAGGGTCTCCTGTAGCCCAGGCTGGCCTCAGGCTTCCTAGGCAGTCAAAGCTGGCCTTGAACTCTTGATCTCTTGCAGTCATCTCCCAAATGCTAGGATTACAAATGTTGGGCTTCTTGCACAGCTGTCATGAAGGAACTTCTATAAACAAGGTAGATGAAATCCAGGTGTAAGAGGATACAAAACACTCTTCCGATTATGCGAAGATCTGAAGTAAGCACATGGTAATTACCTGGCAGGAATGCTACCAGGCTCACAAAGGAAAGTCCTCACAGCAAAGCCCAGTGATTGCTTTCCAGCATGCCGACCCCTGGGATTTCCTGAAATATGGGAAACACATTGCACAGTTTGTGATACTTGACAGTGATATCTGTGCCCTCCCTGGCCAAAAAAAAAAAAAAAAGGTAAAATAAGGCTGGGTGGTGGCAGCACACGCCTTTAATATTAGCTCTCAGGAGGCCGAAGCAGGTGGATCCCTATGAGTTCGAGGCCATCCTGGTCTACAGAGTGAGTTCCAGGATTGCCAGGGCTAAACAGTGAAACCCTGTCTCAGAAAAACCAAACCAAACCTACCCCCCCACCGCAAAAAAAAAAAGTAAAACGTGAATGTTTTCCGGTTCAACACCCAGTATTCCGCATGCTAAAAGTATTTCAGCCAGCAAGGCGCTGACTGTGCTCCCACTGCTTGGGAGGCTGGGGCAAGAGGATCAGGAGTGCAAAGTCATCCTTGGCTATATCGCAAGTTCGAGGCCATCCTGAGCTACTTGAAACTCTGCCTCAAAAATAGAAATAAATTGGGTCCTTTATTCCCAGCACTTGGGAGATGGAGACAGGCGGTCTCTTTGAGTTTGAGGCCAGCCTGGTTTACAAAGTGAGTTACAAATACAGCCAGGGATGTTACACAGAGAAACCCTGTCTCGGGAAACCAGTAGGTAGAGATAGGTAGATAGATAGATAGATAGATAGATAGATAGATAGATAGATAGATAGATAAAGTTGGTTTGTAGAGGACTGAAATGGACAATGAGTACATAAGAAACTAGTTGGAAATGAACTGTAGGAACGAGGAAGTGGCAATCTGAACATGTTCTAAATTCTGGTAGACTAGTGGGTTACATGAAAGGAGGTGGAGCCAAAATTCACTAATCAAGCAAACAAACAGACAAAATGACGAGTGGTGTGTGTGTGTGTGTGTGTGTGTGTGTGTGTGTGTGTGTGTGTGTGTGATTTGCTAGGAGGACTTACAGGCTGTGGCCCAGCTAATCCAACATTGGCTGCCTGTCAACAGAAGATCCACGAATCCAGCAGTTGTTCAGTCCACGAGGCCGGATGTCTCAGGCAGTCTTCAGTCTGCACTGGAATCTTAAAGGAGTCTAGAGTGCCAACGAAGGAATGGACTTGTTAGTGAGGGCACGAGCAAGTGGGCAAAGACTGAGGCTTCCTTCTTCCACGTCCTTTAAACACCTCCCAGTAGAGAGTGTGGCCCAGGGGAGAGGTGGGTCTTCTTACCCCAGAAGATGTGGATTAACAAAGATCTTCCCGCTTCAAATGATTTAATTAGTCAAAAATCGCTCATAGGTATGCCAGGCCTTTTAATGTTAATTCCAGATTCCAGACGTAATAAAGTTGTCAAAGTAGTCGTCAACCAGGTGACTCTAGGTTGTGTCAAGTTGAGAATAAAAACTAACCAGCAGACAGGCAGTGGTGGCGCCCAGCAGTCGGGAAGCAGAGGCAGGTGGATCTCAGTGAGATTGAGGCCAGTCTTGTCTACAAAGCAAGTTCCCGGACAAAGCTACACAGAGAAGCCCTGCCTCGAAAAAACAAAACAAAGCAACCAGCACAGTGTGTGTGCAAGCACGCATTTCACAAGCACAGCAAGTGTGTAAGCACACATGCCATAAGCGTTCCCGTGGCAGTCAGAGGACAATGCATGGAAGTCTGCCCTCTTCCTCACCATGAAATGACAGAGTCATCGAGTTTGCAAGCAAGAGCTTTTACCTACCAAGCCATCTCGCTAGCCCCTGCCCTGTTTCAGTTGTTGGTTGGTGCTGGGTTTTTAGTTTGTTTGTTGAGACAAGGTTTCTCTGTATAGCCCTGGCTGTCCTGGGATCGTGCTGTAGACCAGGCTGACCTCAGACTCAAAGAGCTCCACCTGTCTCTGCCTCGTGAGCACTGGGATTAAAGCCGTTAGCCACCACTGCCTGACGAATAAGCACTTACTTTGAAATCTTTTTTGTTGTTGTTGTTTGTTTTAGTTTTTCAAGACAGGGTTTCTCTGTGTAGCCCTGCTTTTGGTTTTTAGGGATAGCATCTTGCTATGTGCCCCAGGCTGGCCTCCTATCTCCATGTAGACAAACCTGTCCATGAACTCCCGATATTCCGGCTTTGACTTTTCCAGTGCTGGCATTACAGGTGTGCACCACCATGCCTAGCTTTGGACTACAGTTTTGTTGTTGTTGTTGTTGTTGTTGTTGTTGTTGTTGAGACAGGGTTTCTCAGTAGCTATGGAGCCTGTCCTGGAACTCACTCTGTAAACCAGGCTGGACTCGGACTCACAGAGATCGGCATGCTTCTTCCTCCCAAGTGCTGGGATTAAAGGCATGCCCCACAGCTACCAGTCAAAAATAAATAAAATAAAATAAAAGATAAGGTGGAGAACTATTGAAGCATTCAGCCAATACCACCTTTTGCTGAAGCCATTTCCCTGGTGGCGCTGGGGAATGGAGCCAGGGTCTTGGGCAAGCTAGGCCAGCGCTCTACCAGGGCACTGTGTTTCCAGCTCAGCTGAAGACTTCCCAGCCCTGTAGCCTGCCAGACAGGGTGTCTGTTTAGCCCCGCTGTCCTAGAAACAGTTGTGTAGACCAGATCTCAACTCACAGAGATCAGCCTGTCTCAGCCTCTCAGGTGCTGGGATTAAAGGTGTGCGCCTTCCAGCAAGAACACACAATAATCTTGTCTGGGGAAAAAAAAAAGGCTCAAGCAGGCTATTTCTACATAGCTGTGAATGATTTGGAACTCACTGTGAAAGACCCAGATAAGATAAATCCAGACCCCGCTAGCAGGAAAAATAGAGCCAAAAATCTAGCAGGAAGAGGAGAGCCAAAAATCTAGGTTAACCCGTTCAGTGACTCTGTTTCAGGAACTAGCTGAAGATAAAGTTAGATCATAATCTTGAGAATAATCTTGAGAAACAGGGAGTTACCCCCTTGTGATTATCACTGGTATTTTTGGAATTTTCCAATGATGCCCTCCCTACCCCCTTTTGATTATGGTGTTTGGTTTCCTCCCTTAAATACCCCTTCTCCCAACTACTTGGGGTCGAACTCTCTACCCCACATGGAAAATGAGTTTCGGCCCCAGTGCACTGGTTCCTGTCCTGTCAATAAACCTCGTGTTATTGCAGCAAGGTCTGTCTCTCTTGAGTTCCTTGGGGGTCGTGTTATCCTGAGATTTGAGTGAGGGTCTCCCCGCACCGGAGGTCTTTCAACTGTTGGTACAGAACTCATGGCTATCCTCTTGCTTCTGCTTCTCAAGTGCCAGGATTATCAGCATGCTTAAGCATACTCAGCTTCAACTAAAACTTTTTGTTTTTTACATTTATTTGGTGTGTATGTGTGCCTGTGTGTTTGTGTGTGTGAGACAATCAGAGAACAACTTAAGAGAGTCTGCGCTACCTTCCACCTGTGGGTTTCAGCGATCAAAGGGGTCAAACGGGGACCACCAGGCACAGTGGCAAGTAGCACTGGCCCACTGCCAGTCCTGAAGTTTTAAAGTACAAAAACCACAGAGAAACCCTGTCTCGAAAAAAAAAAGAAAAAGAAAAAGAAAAAAAAATCCACTTCCCCAAGGTCTGCCCCATCATTGGGGAAGCAAAGGCAGTTTCCGGGTCTTTGAGTAAGAAGTCCCCGGATGGCCTGAGCTGTGCCAGGGTGGGTGGGTCCAGAAATCCTTTCTCTGTCAGACGGAAGTCCAGGCAGCCTGTGCCCAGGGTCAGTGTCAGACTGCTTAGCTGTGCTGTATTTGGTGACAGACTCTGACCTCTTGGACTCTAGACCTTATTATGCCAGTTTCAACTTCTGATCTGGTTCTACTTCACCCTTACCCCAGTGATCTCTGTGGACCTTTTTTCTGCTGGTAGTTGTCAGGAAGCCCTGTCTCAAGAGCCCCATCTCTCTGGAAAACCAGAATCCATGACTTTATACTCTGGCAGCCCTGGAGTTATGCCTGCTGGCGACATGTGAGTAGTGTGCACATCTGGAGTGGCTGCAGGGAGGGTAGGGAGGCTACACACTCCCCTTGGGGCCATGATTTCCACACACTACAACAAAAAATGAGTGGAGAAAAAGATCTTCTAAAAAAAAAAAAAGTGCCAGGCCATGATGGCCCACGCCTTTAATCCCAACACTCAGGAGGGAGAGGCAGGTAGATCTCTGAGTTCAAGGCCAGCCTGGTCTACAGAGCAAGTTCCAGGACAGGCTTCAAAGCTAAAGTGAAATCCTATCTCCAAAAAAAAAATTCATAAGGTAGCAAAATTACAGTTATGAGGTAGCAATGAGAATGACTTTATGGTTGGGTCACCACAACATGAGGTATTAAAGGGCTGCAGAATTAGAAAGGTGGAGAACCACTGCTCTAAACCCTTCCACACCACTCCTGATTTTCTTTGCAGATCCAAGGCCTTTTCGCATTGATCGTTGTCACGTGCAGGTATGTACATATATAGCCCTACATACGTAAGCACAACCAACCTGGTCTGTATGTTCTTTGTGTGATTGTGTTGGTATTACACTCTTCCCTGGGGAGACGATTTCTCCTGCTCTCAGGATTCCTTAGCTGGTTTTAGTTCTTTGTGTGGTGTTGAGGCCCTGTGGGTTTTTCTGCATCCTGTTGGCCACGGCCAGTGTTGGCCATATTGACAAGACTTTAAGGATGTGGCTCTGACCTTCCTAGGAGACACAAGCTCACAGCAAGACAGCAAAGTCCCAAAGTCCCTGTTCTTCTGGCTTTTTGTTTGCTTATTTGTTTGGGTTTTTGTTTGTTTGTTTTCGGGACAGGGTTTCTCTGTAATTTTGGAGCCTGTCCTGGAACTAGCTCTGAGACCAGCCTGTCCTCGAACTCACAGAGATCCACCAGCCTCTGCCTCCCTAGTGCTGAGGTTAAAGGCTTGTGCCACCACCGCCCAGCTCTGCTAGCTTTTAACAATCTTTCAGCCTCCTATTTTCCAATGACCCCTGAGCTTGGGTGTGCCATGAGGCCTGGCTGCTATGACACTGTTTTGTTTTGAGACAGGTTGACTGAAAATTCCCCCCCACCCCCCCACCCCCGCCCCGAGACAGGCTTGCTCTGTGTATCTCTGGCTGTCCTGGAACTCATGCTGTAGACCAGGCTGGCTTTGAACTCAGAGACCCATCTGCCTCTGCCTCCTGAGTGCTGGGATTAAAGACGTGCACCACCAGAACCTGGCCTATGAATCATAATATAAATATTTTTGGAGGTAGAGGTTGGCCATATGGGCGGTGGCCACACATTGAAAACCAGTGGTTTAGACGGAGGGAAAGGAGAAAATGATGTAATCACAATTTCAAAATATGAATGGTAAACATTTTTTAAAACTTAGATGGCAAAAACAGTACCAAACATATTCAAATCACCAAAAACAGGAATTTTAAAAGTCACTGCAGAAATGCATTTGATATAAGAAATCGCTATGTGTTGAACTGATTTTTTTATGAAACTATTACTTAAAACTTAAAATAACCAAAACCCAAGCCAACCACCAGGATGAGTGTCCGATCACAGGTCTGCTACCCACGTGGTCAGGTCTGAGCTCAGGGATAGAGTCACGGAACTGCGCTGTGCTGTCTTCACAGCCTCTGATGTGTAACCCTACCCGGTCTCTGGCTGCGTGTGCCTCCGGTCACATAGGTGTCCCAGACGGAATCACAACTTTTCTCCCGTCCTTTAGGATCTCTCTCTTCCTGAAGCTGCTCTTCAGTTGTTTTTCATTCATCTGTTCATTTGTGTTTGTTTCTGAGACAGGGTCTCATTGCGTAGTCTGGCTGTCCTGGAACTCACAGAGATCCACCTGCCTCTGCCCAGCAAAGTGCTGGGACTAAAGGTGTGGTCAGCACAGCCAGAGAAGCCTGCTTTTTCATCAAGGCCTCCTTCTGTGGCCTGTTGCTAAGCTGCTGTCCTACCTCCAGGCCCTGCCTGCCCTGCCCACCTCGGTCGGTCGTGAGGTCCCTCTCTTCTGAAGGGTGAATTCATGTCTGCTTCTTTCCTGAGCCCACCCATCCTCTTCCTAACAAAAGGCAGTGGCAGTTCACACTGTCGCCAGCATCTTTTTCTTCTACTTTAAAGAGAATTGTTTATTTTTATTTGACGTGTGTTAGTGTTTTGCCTGCATGATATAGACCTGTGTGAGGGTGCCAGGTCCCCTGGAATTGTAGTGACAGCCAGCTGCGAGCTGCTGTGTGGGTGCTGGGAATTGAGCCCAGGTTCTCTGGAAGAGCAGTCAGTGATGCTAACTGCTGAGCCATCCTCTCAGCCCATCACCAACATCTTCTGAAAACTCACGTGATCCAGCAGAAGTGAGACTGAGAGGAGCTGGAGAAGGGGAGGGGGAGGGGAAGAGAAGAACTCTCCAGAAGCAGGTCTTCAGGCGTAGGCATCACCCATAAACCCTGGCGGCTGATGACTCACAGAAACTCGCACATAAAGAGACTCTAGAGGAAGATGGTAGCACTGGGCCCTCCGCGGGGTGACCCAGCTGTCCCAGCGCTGCCACACCCTGTGAGATCACTTAGCTCTTCTCTCTGAGTCTCTCAGTGTCTGAGGAGCTACCCTGGTCACCACACTGTCACACCCTGAGATCAGCAGGTACTGTGAGTGCTTTACTTGGCAGAGGTGGTTTTGTTTAACCAGAAGCTCAGGGTCCCTTGGAATTTCCTCTAAGATCTGGGGAACCTGATGAATCATGGCACATGAAACATCTTGTTTTGTTTTTGTCCTAACTTCCCCATTTTTCTTCACAACTTTTATCTGTGTTGAGTATGTCTCAAGACAGTGTGTCCATGAGAGGGCTTGCCTGGCACACAGAGTTCTGGGTTCTATTCCCAGCACCACGCAAACTTGGTACAATAGGGTACACATGTAATCCCAGCAATTGGGATGCAGAGGTAGGAGGATCAGAAGGATTTCAAGCCCATCCTGGGCTACATAAGACTCTGTCTCAAAGAAAGGGGGGCAAGGTGGCTGAAGAGATGGCTCATAAGAGTTCTAACTTCCCCTGTGATATGGAATATTACTTTTACTATGTTGAGATGTGTTATATTTGTTTATGCTGAATTTGTTTAATGATGTAAAGATGTGTTGCTGTTTTACCTTGCCTGCCTCAGGCACCTGATTGGTCTAATAAAAAACTGACCAGCCAATAGCTAGGCAGTAGAGGGATAGGCAGGGCTGGTGGCAGAGAGAATAAATAGGGCGTGGGACCAGGCAGTCACCTGCCAGCCAGGCAGGCATGGAGTAGGACATACAGAATGAAAGACAGGAAAACAGCCTGAGGCAGAATGTAGGTGAGAGAAACAGGTTAAATTAAGTTGTACATGCTAATGGGACAAGCATAAGGTAAGGCTGGTATTCATAACTAATAAGTCTCCGTGTCATGATTTGGGTGCTGGTTGGTGGCCCAAAAGAAAGCCTGCTATTGTTACAGCTCTACTCTGTGCAGAGGACCAGAGTTCAGTCCCCAGAATCCACATCAGGTAACTCACAACCTCCTATAAGTCTGGCTCCAGGGATCTGACACTCTCTTATGACTCTTTAAATATCTGTACTCACAAGTACACACACACACACACACACACAAATAAATAAAAATAAATGTTTAAAAATTATTCTTAGCCAAGTGGCAGTGGTGCATACCTTTAATCCCCAGCACTCAGGAGGCAGAGGCTGGCGGATCTCTGACTTTAAGGCCAGACTGGTCTACAGAGCGAGTTCAACGACAGCCAGTGCAACACAGAGAAACCTTGTCTTGAAACCCACCCCCTCCCCTGGGGAAAAAAGGGACAGAGAGACTGAAACCTCAGAGCAGAAAAGTTCAAAAGCAAACTTGACGTTCTTTCTCAAGGTTGCTGCAGGAAGTACCTAGCAGAGCACAGACATATTTGACTGGGTATATCGAGTCAGGGAAGGCGAAACAGTGGGACACACACACACACACAGTATGCAAACTGATCTCCAGACATCGCTAGTCTCTGATGAGCTCCTGTACCACAGACTGGTTCCCCAGACCTCCTGGACGCTCAGACCATATCCAGTCCCTTTCCTATGAGCACCTTCACTTCTGCGGTGCCAATCACAATGAGTGACAAGTGTTGTCATTTCTGAACCCTTTGTGGTCAAAGCTGTGCAGTCTCCACTTTGTAAATGCTCCGAGCACGCATGTGTCTCAGGAAGCAGTTTTTTTCCTTTTTCCTTCTATATCCAGAGAATGAACTCAGGTCATCAAGGTTTGGCAGCAGATGCCTCATGCACTAGACCATAAACAATTTTTTGTTGTTGTTGTTTTTTGAGATGGGGTTTCCTCTGTATAACAGCCCTAGATATACTGGAACTCCCTCTGTAGACCAGGCTGGCATCAAACTCACAGAGATCGGCCTGTCTCTGCTTCCCAAGTGCTGGGATTAAAGGCATGCGCCACTACTGCCCGGCCCTAAACAATTAATTCTTAAAAGTAAAATTTAAATCGATAATTTAAAAAAACCAACATAAGAACTAATAAGTTGAACTTCCAAGGGGTCTCCTTTGGTTGAGGATAACTCGAGAGCTCTACAAGGCAATGATGTCGTGACAGAACTTGAGAGTCAGCTTTCTCCCTGGCTCCAAGGACAGGGAGGTGACAGTCACTGGATAATTTTCTTTCTGGACTTCTCCAGTTTAGAAAGAATGTCAGAGCAGAGAAACACTGGGGCTTTTTCCAAGTCGACGCCTGGGAGTTCACCCACATCTGGGTCTGTTCGTGCTGATTTGCTCAGGATCCAAAAGATCTTGAGGTCAGAGTAAACAGTCGTGTAGGGAAAAGCCCCTGGGGGAACTCTGTGTGGAGGAAAAGGTGTCCTTGTACCAGAATGACTGTAGGGGGATGTACACGGGGCTCTGCTAACACCAGCTGTGCTTCTTTGACCTTGGGAATTTCCCTGGAGAGGTCAAACTATTTTTATCACCAGAAAAATGATTTGATAAAATAAGGGTGGGGGCTGCTATATTTAATTCTCAAAAATTGGGAGAAATGAACCTTAAATAAAAAGGATACTATAAGCCAGGTGTGGGTCGTGTCTGCAATGCTAGCCTATGGAAAGTGGAGGCAGGAGACAAACCTGAAGGCCATCCTTGGCTACATATGAGTTTATGACCAGTTTTGGTCTACATAAAGAGATCCAGACCAGGGCTGGAGAGATGGCTCAGTGGTTAAGAGCATTGCCTGCTCTTCCAAAGGTCCTGAGTTCAATTCCCAGCAACCACATGGTGGCTCACAACCATCTATAATGAGGTCTGGCACCCTCTTCTGGCTTTCAGGCATACACACAGAATATTGTATACATAATAAATAAATAATTATTAAAAATTAAAAAAAAGAGAGATCCAGACCAGCCTGGCTTACATAGTGAGACCCTTCCTCAAAAACAAAAGTGAGGGCTGGAGAGACGGCTCAGTGGTTAAGAGCACTGACTACTCTCCCAGAGCACCCAGGGTTCAATTCCAGCATCCACATGGCACTCCACTGTCTGTAATTCCAGTTCCAGGCACGCGAGCACACGCACACAGTAAGTACATGAAAACAAATTAGGGCTGGAGAGATGGCTCAGTGGTTAAGAGCACTGGCTGCTCTTTCAGAGGTCCTGAGTTCAATTCCCAGCAACCACATGGTGGCTCACAGCCATCTGTAATGAGATCTGGTGCCCTCTTCTAGCCTGCAGGCACATACAGAAGGAATGTTGTATACATAATAAATAAATAAATCTTTTAAAAAAAAAGAAAACAAATTAAAAAAACAAAGTGAACACTATATTTCCTGTACCCGTACCACCCAGGAAGAGGTATGGTTAACATTATGTCATTTACCCTTTCAAATTGCTGTCTTTCCATTTAAAGATTAATTTATTGAGCTGGCTGGCGGGGTCAGTGAGTAAAAGTGATGACTGTGCACGCCTGAGAACCTGAGTTCAAGCCTCGGATCCCATAGTGCGAGGAGAAAACCAGCTCTCAAAAGTGGTCGTCTGACATCCACACATGCACCGTGCACACACACGCACACATTCACACAACATAGAAAAAAGTATTTCTTTTTATATGTGTCCCTATGAATGAATGATCATATGTGTGTATGCAAGGGTGTGTGTATCTGTGCATGCTCTTGAAGGCCAGAAGCGGTGACTGGCATTCTCTTTTATCACTTCTCCACCTCGTTCTCTCTCTCTCTCTCTCTCTCTCTCTGTCTGGAGCGTGCATTTTCTCAGCTCCTCATTTTCATTTATTGATATAGAGTCTCATGTTGCTCAACACTGTTTGTTTGTTTTGTTTGAGCCAGAGCCTCATGAAACCCAGACTGGTCTCAAACTCACTATGCCGCTGAGGCTGGCCCTCAGTTCCTGACTTCCTGTCTTTACCTTCCGAGTGCTGAGACTGCAGGTGTGTTACTGCAGGAGGCTCTCTTTAGGTCTCCTGCAGCCCAGGCTCCCCTTGACCTAGCTAAGCAGTGAAGGCTGGCCTTAAATCCTGATCCTCTGCCTCTTAAACACTGGGATTACACCATGTGACATGATGTCAGGTCATCATTCCATGTAATTTCTGTCCTAAGGAAGCACGAGGAAGGAGCGACGTCGGGAGTAGACTATTGGGAAGAGTCTGATGCACTGCCAGTGTCTGAAATACACACGTTTTCCTTCTGATCACCCTGCTTTATTCCTCATGACACCATAGCAGCTTTCTGTGAGCTACAGGCAATTCAAACACACCGGCGAAAGCAGAGTTGCATTTGCTAATCTTTAATCAGGTTGAACTGTGGAGCCAACTCTCTGCAGCAGCATCTGCCTTTGCTCGCGGTGCCGATCTTCAACCCTGAACGCGGTAAGTCACCAGGTGAGCTCCAGCCCAGACATACTGACCTCAGCTGGGCTCCTGGACATAGGAATTTTAACAAGAGTCTCTTTTCAATAGTCCTCGTGGCAGCCCCTATAATCCCGGCAATTAGTAGGTAGAAGTAGGAGGATCAGGAATTCAAAGTCACCTTCAGCTGCCCCTTCTGTGGTTTTTCAAGATAGGATTTCTCTGTGAGGTCCTGGTTGTCTGGGAACTCATAAAGACCAGCCTGCTTCTGCCTCATGAGTGCTGGCTTAATGCCACCTGGCTTAACTTCAGGTACTCTATAGTGAGTTAGAGGCCAGTGAGCCAGAAATACCAATGACTTTGTCTCAAAAACAAAACAAAGCAAAACCAAAAACAAAAATAAAAACAACAAACTAAATCAAACCAGACAGGTGGTGGTGGCCCACACCTTTAATCCCAGCACTAAAGGAGGCAGAAGCAGGTGGATCACTGTGAGTTTTGAGGCCAGCCTGGTCTATGTAGTGAGTTCCAGTACTATGTGGAAAAACCCTTTCTCAAAAACAAAGAAATCCCAGAAGCTAGGTATGCTAATTCACACCTGTAATCCCAGCAGAGAGATTGACACAGGCTTTGATTTTTTTCTGAATTTGTGCTGGCCTTTTCAATTTATTTCTCTTTGAACAAAGGTTTTACATCACTGACTTTTATTTCCCTATTGGAAGATGGGAATAGTAGTAACATTGACGCGGTTTGGTTGTGAGGATGGAGTCAGCCCGCGTGCGGGTGAAAAACACCTGTACCACGATTTCCTTAAACAGATCTTCTAATACCCTTCTGCTCTCCAGCTTTCCCTTGACTGAGAAGGAGTGGGACAGTAGTGTTTGGGCAGACTGGGATAGTCTTGGTGAAAAGAATGAAGGAAAAGGTGCACACCTTTAATCCCAGCACTTGAGAGGCAGAGGCAGGTGGACCTCTGTGAGTTTGAGGCCAGCCTGGTCTACAGAGCTAGTTCCAGGACAGGCTCCAAAGCTACTCAGAGAAACCTTGTCTTGAAAAACCAAATAAATAAACAAATAAGAAAATACTTGGGGTTTTTTGTTTTTGCCTTTTTAAATTTTTATTTTCTTCTCTTTCAGGTTTGTTACAAGAGAAAAGTCCGTGCCTTTTAAAGATTAATTACTATTTAAAAATGATGTATGTTTTTGTTAAGATGATTTTTATTATTTTGTGTGCATGTGTTTAGTATGTACACATGTATGCGGGTGCCTACAGAATCCAGAAAAGGATATTTGGTTCCCTGGAAATAAGAGTTCCAGGCAGTTGTGAGCTAGCTGAAGTAGGTGCTGGGAACTGAACTTGGTTTCTCTGCAAGAGCATCAAGCATCCTTAACCACTGAGTCACCTCTCCAGCCCCTCTCTATAGGTGATTGTATAGTTATCAGAATGGAGGGAAAAACCAAAGGAGTCTTCAGAGAGCAGGCAAGGTCCTACAACAGCTGCACAACACTTCTGAAAGCCTTCACTGCCTCAGACCCCATGGACAGACAGCTGGTCTGTGGTCAGTGCTCCTAGAAGGAGCATCAGGGAATTTGCCTGTTCTCTCTTCCGAAGTTCTACAGCCAGCACTTGAACAAAGCTTTCTTGCACTGTTGCCTGCTTTTAATACATATACACATATATATCACATTTGCTATATTAAATATATATTACATTTATTTGTTTGTGTGGGTGCATGAGTAGGCGGGAGTCAGTGTTTTCCTTCTGCCACATCAGAATTAAATTCAGGTTGTTAGGCTTGGTGGCATGTGCCTGTAACCACTGCCATTTCACTGGCTGGTACTTTCGGTGGTGGGAAGGAAACTGAGCTCTCTGCAACTAAGCATGTGATGGCCAGAGGTTGATGTCCAGGGTCTTCCTCTATGGCTCTCTGCTTCACTTGGTGAAGACAGGCTTTCTCACTGAGGTTTGCCTCTGGGGCTAAGCTGGCTTGTCACCTACCTCTCAGGATGTGCTTGTCCCTGTGCCCCAGTGCTGTGATTACAGACAGAAACGCCATGCTTGAAGGGAGTGCTGGGGATTTGAACTCAGATCCTCAGGCGTGCACAGAAGACAAGCCATCTTCCCAGCCTCATAGCTCATGTTCCCATAGAGGGTCAGTAGGAGAAATGAACTAGAAGATAGGCCATGTGAAAAAACAATCCCTGCATACTTTGGTCGTCTAATTCCGAGGCCATCTCTTCATATCTACTGCCTTGTACAATATTAGTTATATTCTGAATGCCCATACTAGTTGTCAATCTTATTGAGCAATGCATTGTGCTTATGTATTGTTACTTTATTATACAAATCAACTTCCTCGATGGGTCCTATTGTAACAAATAGTTGGCAGAATGAAAATTTTAATCCCAACTGTACATGCATGACTCAAAGCCACCCCCTCCCCAAAGTATCTCACACAGTCTGATTGATTTATATAATTCTCTAGGCAGTGGACTCTGGCCTTAAACTATCGACCCTCCCGTCTCCTTCTCCCAAGGGCAGGCATGACAGGCCAGTGCCACCACACCTGGTGGAAGACCATTTGTTTGTGTGTGCAATGCACGTTTGCTAGTGCATATGTGTGTGGAAGGCAGAGATCATTGTCGAATGTGTCATCTGCAATCTATTTATTTTTGGTGGCACCGAACCTGGTACTCATTGATTTGGGTAGGCTGCTTGTGATTCTCCTTTCTTTGCCATACCACGAGCCCCCCCCATTTTTTTTTTTTAAGAAAGTATCTCCTGAAAGGCGCTGGTGGTGCACGCCTTTAATTCCAGCACTAGGGGGCGGGGAGGCAGAGGCAGACAGATTTCTGTGAGTTCGAAGTCAGCCTGGTCTACAGAGCGAGTTCCAGGACAGACCAGGGATTTTACACTGAGAAACCCTGTCTCAGCGGAGCAGGGGGGAAAGTATCTCATTATGCAGACGAGGCTACCCAACTGAGATCAGCACCACCACCCTTGGCGGTCGGACAGTCAGACCTTATAAGCGGGTGCGGAATAGTTGATCTCAGGAGCTCAGGTCTTCAAGCTTGCAGGCAAACAATTTATTAAGCCATGGCCCCGGTTGCAGGTCGTTTCTTACCTACCCGCTTCTCCATTCCTAGCTGTATCTGGCAACAGGTTGTACTGAAAAAATACTTGGTAATAGAACGGGCAAATGGGTCTCTCTACAGCTTTGTAATCTTCCTCTTCAAACGGGACCTCAAAGAGGTAGATACACAGCATACAGCATACAGTCATGCTTGGTCTTGGATTTTAAAGACAGAACTAGATTTGCCGAAATACCAGGGCTTGACCTGCATTTGCAAAGGATGGGTTTTGCAGCAAGGGTGGCGTTCATCCGGACCTGTGACTGAGGCTTGTATGAGGCCACCTTTTATTTCCTGGAGACGCCATGCTAAAGTTGCATAACATAAGCAGTCATGCTAAACTCAAGTCAGAGGCCTGGGACCAAGCATTCACGGCCGCGTCCCTGTGGCAAAGTTGTCTCTGTCCCTGAGGTGACTTCTGGTTCCCAATCAGCACAGCAGTGGTGTTGCTTGTCACAGCAGGACATCCCGAGCTCGTGACTCCTCCCACGCAGCGTGGGAACTCGCGCGGGCGCAGAAACCCGCCCAGGACCCGCCTCTCCGGCTTCCCATTTTCTGCCTTCCCTCCCCCACCAGCTCCGCCTTGCCGCGGTGAGGTCACGCTAGAGACGTCACTGGGTTATGACGTCACTAAGGGCGGTCCATCGGGGGAGAGGAAGAGGCGGGGCCCGAGTGGCCCCCGCGCGTGCGCATTGGGCGCGGCGCGTGAGGAGGCGGAGGCGGCTGTGTTGCGAAGAGCGGCGGCGGCGGCAGAGGAGGCGGGCGCTGGGGGGGGGTGGGAGGGGGGGAGCGCGATCGCTCAGAAGCCAGCGAGAGGGAGCGAGCGAGCGGTGCGGCG